CATACTTCTGTTCCAGTTTTCGCAGCAGTGCGCTAAGTTTGCTGATCCTGTGCTAGAACTTTCCGGGTCTTAAGAAAGGTCTTCTGGATGACTTTACATCGTCACTTTTGCCCGCCTTGTTTGTTCGAGCAAGTGACAATGGCACTGTAGGATAGTCGCCTAGACATGGACTCATCCATCGTGTCGTAGCCACTCCAACACCATTGTGCCTGTTTCGACGTAGTATAGGTACTAAGGCCACTAGTTCGACTCAGAACTTCGGTATTTGGGACCGTTTGCTTTTACTTCATCTTCGGCATTCTCAGGAGGTAGGTGAGGAAAAACATGACTGAGTCTCCGCGCCCGGCCTTCGTACACTGTTCATGTCTCCGTTCCGTACATGAATATTGTCAGGGCGACAGTTCTGTACATTTTAAAATTCCGCTTTAGTTGGATGTCGGGGCAACTCCAATTGGGGCGTTGTAGCCAAAGGCATTTCTGGCTGGTTTGGAAGATCCAAAGAGAGATCTTATCAAAAGCTCTGCTTTTTTTCGAAATTTTACTCGCCATATCCAATGTGAGTTCCAGTGACACGGATTCTGAGATCACCGCAGTCATCACTTAACGCTGGTTGGCTCATGGCCATTGTCGTCTCCGCGCTTATGATCAGTCCGAAGGTAGGGCATCCGGAAGCAAAGAGGTTCGCACTCTGCTGCCTGTACTATTCCGATGTGGTGTTGGACACGCGATCATCCGTGAATAGGAGAACGTGGACACTGGCTTCATACGTCGGATGTGGAGTTGTCGTCTGTCAGTTCGGTAGTCGACGTTGATTTCCGACCGCCTTCCACGGCAGGCGTTCATCAAAATGGCGGGGAACATGAGAACGAGAACACAACCCTAATTCACCCCGCCTGATGCCGCGAATACTTCCGAGGCTGTCCTTTTGTCCGTGATGTACGCTATTATCCCGTCGTGTACTTCTATAATCATCCGCATGAATAGCTCTGGGCATCCGAATCTCGACGGGATTTTTGGAGTTACTCGCGGATCACTCTGTGGAAGACCTTGCCAAAGTGAAAGTGATTCGGTGGCCGGCGCTATTCCGGTGGGCAACTTCTGCACTGCCTTGATAGTTACCTGCAGGTAAGGGGGGGGGCAGTGGAGGTTTGCAGTGTTCCGTTGAGGAGACCAGTTGATGACCTCACTACTTGTGAATTGGTGGTTAAAACATCTCTGTAATGCTTGATCCCTAGGATCTGTGCCCTCTCATATAGCCTTTAGGTTGCACAGTCTAGTCTGAACAGTGGCATAGTTCACCTGGTTTAGGTGTTGGTTGCAAAGAAATTTTTTCATTTCACTGCGGCCGGCGTATGCCTGGGCTATCATCAGCGTCTAGGGTTAGTCAATAATTTTGAATTTTCTCGGTTTCTGCACTGGGCATCGGTCTTGTTATCCGCATAAATCGTGTGTGGACCATTTTTTTCGGAGACCATACGCCGGATTTTTTCATCGTCATCGAACCAGTCTTGGCGTTGACGCCCTGTTCGACCGAGAACTTCCACAGCGGTAGAAGGAAATTCACCTTTTACGTTCACGCATTATAGCTCGACCTCAAAATCCTGCTCCATATACATGTATTCGTCTTAGGTTGGTGTTAATGCGGTAATTAAAATCTAGTCTCGCTTCAGCCGTATTCGATAACATTAGTTAGTTTGCTTAGATCGCAGTTGGTAGCCAGGAATGAAGAGGCGGACAGCCAGGTCCGTGTCGTACGGGCATGGTAGGAAAACGGGTTATATGGGCGGGGTAAAAGGAGGGGCTGGTAGAGGAATGCTAGTTTCCGGGTAAAAATAAAGTTACCAGGGAAAGTGATGGGAAGTTTTGAGTAGGTGGATTAATGGCAGAAATTTAAACCCTATAATTAACTCTAAAATCCAGCCGCAACCGCAACGTAAAGCCTAATCCCAAGCCTCAAAACCGAAACGGAACCAAAATCCCAAAATCTAACGTTAACCAAAAACCTAGCCATAATCCTCATCCTAACCTTGACTATAACCTTAACCTTAACCGTAACCCTAACACTGACACCTGATCCTAAAACGCAAACTCTAATCCTAAAACTTAACCTACGCCTAACCCTAACCCTCAGTAAACCCAACAGCCTGACCGAAATGGGCGACCTGCCTAACTCAGTAAGAGCACACCTACTGATAACAAGTTCCTTAGACAGGGTAAGCACACCTACTGATAACAACTACGTGCGTCGACAGTATCAACGTATAATGCGTATAATGCGTATAATTGCGATCTTACCGTTAGTTTACCTGGCATTCGCTTATATTGCGGTCATTTGCAAGGTTGCAGTTTGATCTTCATCCCTCCAACAGTCTTCACCGCACCAGGAGGCCTCACTAGTCAAGTCGCTTGGCATAGTCTCAGAGTCCCGAGACAACCGCTATTTTCTAGGTGGTGCTTGACATGACGTCCTACACGGAGAAGGTGGCTCAGGCGTCTCATTGCTCCGTCTTTGAGCATCGACTGCAGATGAAGATGAGTCCGGCACACGCTTTCGCCAGTTGTCCTTGAGTTTCATCAAGTGCAACCAGAGCCGTCTTTCTATCTGGTCGGTTTTTTGCTAATTGTCTCAAAAAGGATGAACATTCCAGCCTGCTAGAACCCGTAGGGTCGCATTGGTAGGTTATTACGAGACAGGAGATTGGACGATAGTGGTTTTTGTGTTGTATGCTGCTTTGATCACATTCTTCTGCATTCACAAGCCACAACCATCGTGCCGAGGGCGTTTTTTACCCAGCTTTCTTAAGAGCTTGTCTTTTAGTCACCTATTTCGTTATGGGTAAGCAGTTTACCCCTAAACGGGGCTGCCGAACGTCCCCTGTGGGTCATGATATTGATACAGTGGAAAGCCTATCCGAATTAGCCTGGAGCGAGTGGAAGCGCCTTGGCTCACTCTATATGATTTTTGCTCGGAGGTGGGGAAGGTAAATGGGGAAGAGTGGAGGGACTACGGGATGTGGAGATATACACGCCTGACAACTCCATCTGCTTTAGCCCGTCGGTTAGGGACAGTTATGGAGCACCTGGGATTCGAATCCTCTCCCATAATTAACATTCCTGATCACAAATGGACAGCAAAATGGGCCCCCGGACAAATTGTAGAGAGTTAGATTGAATGATTGAATATCCCCCGTTCGACTCTCAGGTGCTCTACCCCTGCGGTTGGGCGTAGTGTATTGATGATGGCTATTAAGTCAGAGATGGTCATTCCAGTCCCCCTTTTCTTAGTCTGTAGCACTTCATCTACCTATACGACTAATTGCTCTGGGACTGTCTGCTGGGGTTCTAGTGTAGGCCCTAAGGAACGATGGGACGAGCGCGTCCCGAAACCCCATCGGCGAGTCACCTCTACCCTGATAAATATTCCTAACCACAAACCGAGAGGGCAACGGGACTGTAGGTACAGGTACAGAGATTCATACTCAATGCATGTGTTAAAAAGATCACTTTCAAAGACAAGGAAGACTGGCTAGGCTAGTTTTTGCCTATTAGCCGTCACCAGCCAGTCACATCCAACCCCAGCTTTCGGGACCACCTGGGATTCGAACCGAGGACATTTAGCCATTGAATCGAACTCTCCACCATTAAGTCATGGTCCCGATGTCCTATGAACGCCCTGTCCTGTCCAATCGGGTTGTGGAGCATGCTTGTCCTGTTGTGTATGTTGTGGCTGGAGGATAGAGTATGCAGGTACAACGATACCGTACCGTTTCGGGTTTATTCTGCCGTCATACAGCCAATCGCAACCTTGAGCATCAGCTTGTATCGGAAATAAAAATATGCGCTCGCACACGGCGCAGATGGTCTTTAGACGGTTCATGAGCACTATATTGATGATTTTCGTACAGCTTGATTGCTAGATTGCTAGATTGGTGTTTCAGAAGACTGTTGCGATAAATCGGTGTAATTTCCCCTGCCTGTATGACTCGATATACAGTTGACTTCGCTGACAGAGACGTCAGGGTGTTAAAAAGTTTCGGTAAGGTTCCGCGTTGATAGGTCGGCCAGCGGCTAATAAATTCTAATTAAAGTAGCACATGAAATAATAAGCACACTAATTTGTGTGTATCAAAAGGGATTTTCTTCCATAAAAGTACTTTGTGTTTTTTGATGACGGTAGCGTCTACTGATATTCATAATGTCCTTCAGATTTCAATGAATGCATTATGGACTTCAATGTTCTCAATCGGCTGTCTGTAAAGATAGATTTCGTATTATATACTTATGAAAACCTCCAAAATAAGTTTTTCTTGGAGGAATTTACTGAAGCGGTGGGATCATCGGCGATCTTTTTCATGTAAATGGCAGTTTGAGTTCTATAGGCAGACTTCCTAAACATGAAACCTCATTGCCTACATAAGATGGACCTCCGTATTAAAGGCCTGATTTGCATGTACTTTTGAGCAAATTACCAACCTTCCCTAATATGTTACCTCTAAAACCTCTTAAATGAGTTGTTTTGTTGACGAATTTCCGTGTAGTTTGCCTTTCTCCAGGATCAAGTCAAGAAAATGGACTAGAACTTTTGGTCGGTTTTTTAAATTTCTTGAAAATACAGGCAATTTTTCTAATGAAGACGAAAGTACGCATTTTCCTCCTTATACTGAAATTATTTTCGTTTTGCTCGCATGCTTTAGGTCCGTTCTACCATTTTAATAATCCATCAGAATCGCCTTATAAATACCAACAAGTTATTCAGTTTGCTAGTGCACTTCCGATTCTGCTTCCAAATTACGCACTAGCAGGATCTGCACCGCCGAAAATGTATCTTACCATATGTCCAAAAGTTAAAGTGGCATTTGATAATGGTTCTTTTTACGATTGCTTATGACACAGATGTTCGCAAATAGCAGAACAACATGGCTACGTTTAAACAAAGGACTGTCTGTAGGCGATACTGCTATGAATTCCGCTGTTGTGGATGCTTGTGTGACCGAGGAGGCCTATGCGGTGTATGAATGTGCGTTGGTAGCGTGAAAATGAGGGTGGATGCTGAGAGTGTATGCGGGTGATCCTGGCACTGGTGCGCCGCTCGCATTGCGGTGGATTCGCAGGTGGCCCACCAGGCCGATACGTGACCTGAGCGTGCTATCGCACTGAGGACAGGTTAGGACCGAATCCACATCACTGGAGATGGCGATGACGGGAGTGGGGGTTTGCGGGCCGTTGAGAGCGTTTTGATCGACTGCGGAAGTTGGGGCTATGGTGGTCACCGTTGTCGCCGCAGAAGTTGTGTCAGGAATGATAGAGATGATGGTGAATGACGGCGGTTGGGCACGGGGATGACGAGCATCGGTGGTGATAGCAGTCGTCGTTGTGGCCGTGGTGAGGATTGGAGCAGGGCGATGAGAAATACAGCGGTTGGGGCTGTCGGGATGGCACATTGAGTCCGGAGGTATCTAACGAGAACGTTCCGCGCGCTGAATGTTCATTGACTGAGCGGACATGTAGGGAGGGGTGGGATGTTGGCGTTGCGGGTTAAGAGCGCCCGAAACTTACGACCAGTCCAGATGCTGGTTTGGTTGATTGATGAAATGTAAGCGGTGAAAAGACAACTTCGGCAGAATATTAACTTACCTAGTGGTCACTTATCTTGTGCTCCGCTTACTCCTCGAACTGTCTAAAAGGGAACAAACATTTATGGCTGTCAGAGTGGGCCTACTCATTCTAACTGCCTATAAAGTGGAGCAGAGGAGAAAGATGGTGGTCGCTGCTGTTCATTGCAGTTTCTCGATCGTGGGTTCTTAATCTAGGGGCCATGGTAGATAGCGCGATTGCCCATCATTTGTTTAGGACACTTTTCGTCCCTTCTCTATCGGAGGTAAGGGGCGACGTCCCTCGATAGGGTTTCTCGGACATCCCAGATGGCTGCAGAACTCCCCTATCGGTCACGGCTTTGATCGGTGGAGAGCGCCCGAGTCAGCCTGGACTGCCTACGGGATTGCATGTCATCCTCTCTACAGGACCCCCTGAAGTAGAAGGCGGAAGGAAGGAGAGGATGATGGAGGAAGGGGGAAGATGGGATGGGAACGGAATTACCGGCTGTGGGAACACACACAACACCGAATGCTCTCATGTGGTTTAGTTCGCGGGTTACTGGGATGTAGCCGCTAGGCCGACCCTAGCTTCAAGGAGCTACATATGAGGAGGAGTTAGCACATGTTTGCTGCGACCTGCCACTCGTGCAAAAGTGTCCCTAACTCGGCACCCCTACACCCTGGGTCCAGAAGCACAAGCATGCTCACGCAGACAGCTCAGTTATTTCACAACAACGTCTGCTCATGGAAAGGAATTTTATCATTGCCTCGCCGCTCGACAACTAGCGTTCCCAATCGGATGTTAATTTAAAAAAGAAGGGGCGCACACTCGTCCATTATATTCTTGAAGCGAATGAACCCCAAATGAGTGGCAGAGACTATGTTTTTATTTCTTGTTCCAGTTGGTGGTCGGGGTTATGATTGATTAAATGGAGACATAAGAAGCACGAAGGAGTTCTATATCCATTTACCCTCCTCTCCGCTGTCACTCTTCTGGCACCACCGTCTTGTGTAATTCACTTACATTCGCGCAAGCCGAGAATTCTCGAAAAACGGGTCTCGACCGTCCTCGGAGTCTTGCCACAGCATAAATCAGTGAGACGCGACGGAAAAGAAGTATTAATATTAAAGAGGGCAGAATAATGGGTTTCGCTACATACTGGAGATGCGGTGATGGTGGGTACGTGGGCTGGGTGTACCTGACGAAGGAGGAGAAGCAGTAAGAAAAAGGTTATTCATAGTTTAAAGAGAGGAACAGAATATTTAAGTCGAAAATTACAGAGGGGAAGCGCAGGAGACTGCAGATACAGGGAAATTCGAAAGAAAAATGAAGGGGCATCTAGTGAAATAGGAAAGGGGAGATATAAGGCTAGCAGCATATGTGGTACAATGGAGAGAAGAGAAATAAAATGAGGAGGAGGAGGAGGAGGATGATAAAAGAGAGACGATAAGCGCTGGGGAGACAGTTAGTGCTTTACTTCAGGTCCCTATCAGTGTTGAGATCTTAGTTGACGAATTAAGTTCTCTCAAACCAGATCACGCGCGACAGTTTTTCTTTTACTGCGGAACCAACTGCCAACAGACGTGAGTAAGGACACCTGAAAAGTTTTGCTGACGGGCGAAGCAGAGTGTGGAATGAAACTTTCTACTCCACCTGCCATCATCATCATCATCCGGTCACAGTCCAAACCCTTATCGACTATACCTGAGATCTGAATCGGTGTCAGCTGATCAGGGAGATTTTCCTTCGAATCCCCTAGCAGTTGACTCAAAGGTCCCTGTCCTTTCGGGCGCAGTCGGGAGCAACCCACGTCGCATGAGAGTGGTGTGACAAAATGACGACAACAAAAAGCCAGAGTTGAGTATCTCGGTATATTTGTCGGAAGATTTTTTTCAATAAATCATCTCCCTTTGTCATGACACTGTCTGTGAGGGATTAATGCCCGTAGTTTCTAGGCAGATCGGAACATTACTTATTCTACAATGCAGCCACGAGTGATCAGTGGATTCCACTTACATGTAACTTGGTAGTTCGGGTCGCAGTATTTGACTTAGTGCTCAGTGACCGGAAAGCCTAACTCCGAGTATAGGTTCTTCCTGATTAGGCACATGGCTAACAGAGGACACGGATAAGCCCAAACGGCACGCTGCAGTCTCACTGGCTTCAGCAGGTAATGCTGACTCACTTTTCAGGATAAATTCTGTTATTGTAAGAGCTCTAAGATATCAATTCGTACTTAGATAACGAGAACTGCGAAATAGCGTTGAGTAAATATATTAAAGGATTAACTTTGAAACCTTAAAAGGCGTTTGCTCGCGAGGCATGTTTAAGCATATGGAAACTTCGCAACAGCTTTACAATCAAAATAATTCAAACTCCCATCCCGAAACACAAAAGAGTACTTAATTACTTAGGCATACAAATTCATAAATAACTCATGAGATCCAAATTCGAAGCAGTAAACAGTCTTTGTGCAAACTCCTGGAAAAGAATGCCACTCAAGCAATGCATTCATTGGACCTCGGTGGCCTCGGTGGGATTTAAACCCCCGACACCAGGGCCAAGGCTTGAGTGGAGCCAACTGCCCGAGCTCGGGACGTGTAGCTTACACTGCGTGACTGATCTCATGAAATGTTGGCCTAAATTCCAACATGCGCTTACGGTTAGGAAGGATTACTTACGTAGTGTTGTAATACTGATTTTCACACGGCATACTCCCATGATATTTTGAACTTGCCAGGATGTCGGTTTTTGAATGCACCTCTTTTCGACCTCCTACAAAAGGCACACTCGGTAATAAATCAATACTTATGATGCATGCATTTTTCGCATTGATTTTTGATGGTCTTATATATTCAAATATATTATGTAGAAAACACGTACAAAATAGGCTTTCTTTTACTCGTTTGGTAGAGAACCACGTTTCCTTCACATTTTGCGTTCGAAGGTAGGAAATATTGAGGTTTTAAAAACGTTTACCAATTTCCGAATAATTTTGAGCCGATCAGCCGTTGCATTAACGTTTAGCGATTTCAGTCTACAAAGTGCATGCTTTCCGCGTAAGGAAAATCATATATTCCTCTACGGCCTTAAAAGATGCCATATAGTATTCATAAAATTTTGCAATGGATGCGGATAACGCTGCAAATTTTGTGAGCAGCATTGGCAAACGGACAGTTTCAATGCTGTATGAAGGAAAATTGCAGGGTTTTAAACAATCTCATAATTAGAAACTTTTCGGAACCTAAAAATACCCTCTCTTCGGACATACAATGTGAAGAAAACGTGGTTCTATATCAAATGATTAAAAGAGAACCTATTTTGTACGTGTTTTCTACAAAATATATTTTGATTTATAAGACCATCAAAGATCAATGCGAAAACTGCATGCTAATTAAACAGTAATCTATTACTGAGTGCGTCCTCTGTAGGAGGTCGAAAAGAGGCGCATTCAAAAGCTGACATCTTGCCAAGTTCGACATATCATGGGATTATGCCGCGTGAAAATCAACATTACAACCCTACGTAAGCAATCCTTCCTAACAGTAAGCGCATTTTAGAATTTAGGCCAACATTTCATGAGATCGGTCACGCGCTGTAGGTGGTTAGATCGTTGGCTGTACTCAAGTCATGCGCCTGGTGTTGTGTGTCTGAATCCCACCATGGTCGCCGGTTTTCACAACTGGAACAAATGAATTATTTAAAATCTGCCAAAACGTCTAAATAATTATTTGTTTCACTGGGAGATCAGAAGGTCTTTTGATAGAAAATGCTATGACGCTTGAATTCCCTCGCGATCATGTTTAACGCCTGAGAGTATTGCAGCCCCATTGGATATAGCGGATTATATGGACTAAGGCAAAGCTCTGAAGCCCGCAGTGATTTAGTGAATGCTTTTAATGGAAAGAACATTGACATGAGAAGAATTCGCAACGACTTTTCAAACTTCCCCTATCGTAGCCTAACGCAACTAGCTAGTGAGGGAAGTGCTAGACACTGGAACTTATTTGGACGATCGATTAGATTAGACGACAACGTCGAACATCAATGTTCAATCTTCAAAGTCTGGGACATGCGACCCTGTCTTTTAAACTTCAGTTCTTATTGAAGTCAAAATCGTTATGCAGTCCCTTCGATTCATTAGTAATCAGGTAAGGAAACAGAAAACAAAACCGAATAATATGGAGCAGAAAAAGAGGGTCAAGGATAACCCAGGCATTAATACGATCTAGTTGTTTTCAGCAGTCTAGTTTAACCGCCTGATCTTTTCCAACTTCTGTCTTCCTCGGTATGCACGACTTCTTTAAATATTAAGTGTTTCGGCATGCCGCGGCAAATGGGTAGGAGACACCGCATTAGCTAATCAACCTACATCAGTGCAGAAGGGGAATTTAGGACATCCGATGAGATTTTTTTACGGTCCTATTTGCAATCAGTTTACACGGCTTTGTCGGTGTATTAGGTGAGAGACGAGGGGAATGACTAGGAGAAGGGGGAGGAGGAAAAAGAAGACGGGAGTAAGAAGATACAGATCGATCAGATAGCTTAATTTTCCCTTTGTGGCGTCCAACATCCACATGCTCAGATCGAAGGGGATTGCTGGACCAAGAGAGGCTTAATGTGATGGGACGCAAACTGTCAGTCCCCTATGCGATTTGAGTTTTCGTTGTTGAAGAAAGAAAGTGAAGTTTGCGAGCAAACAGACTAGACTCCTGTGGTAATTTTTAATCCGACTTATAAGTAGTAGGTTAGTCTGTTGACCATTATTTTTTGCTTGATAATGCACCTTTAGAAAATGAATCACGTTCTTGCGTGGAAAATTAACAAATCTAAATTTAGATGTTGC